ACACAAAACTCAGAGATATGGTAGCCAGATAAGAGTTCACTTCCACTGGCTATGGCGACTCAGCGCCCAACAACTCACTGTTCACATACACCGGATCACCCTGGATATCCCACACGCACCACTCTGAACACTCACGCAACACACACACACTTCACTCTAAACTACAGCTATGGCAGCGATGGCTGCCTCTACCCTATCACTATGGCTGCACTTCGTCTCTCTCGCCCACTTCGACTTCGGGCTGCTGCAGACCCCCTTGCACAAGCCGCTTAGGCAGCGCTTCCGCATGGGTTCCGCAGGAATGAATGAATGGCTGTGCGCGACCTCTTGATTTATACTTTTGTGGCTCGTTGGTCTGCCCTTGTTTTCCTGGCCCACGGTGCACACAGTCCCAGGCGGTACTTGCTTGACTGGACCGGACTGACTGGACTGGGACTGCTGACTCTGCACGGTGGACTTCCACCACTTGCCCACTTGCCTCTGCCTAAACTTGGGCAGCCTCGAAAGGCCACCACTGGGAGCTTCTAGAAGGCCGTGGACTTGGCCTTTCGGTCTTGTCCAGGCTACGACCTTGAGTCTTCAGGACTGGACTAGCCACGACCTTGACCTTTCAGAAAAGCTGTGACTACGACCTCTAGGCCTGGCTAAGACTCCTAACCGACAGGTCTACAGATCAAACCCAGGCTACCTACGGACCCTACAACGACCTATCAGCTGTTACAAATACACAGGTCGCGGGTTCAACTCCACGGGTCAACACAGGTACTGTACATAGGTAAGGTGGGGACTAGGGATCGAGCCCTGGGATCTGCATCAGCTACTGCGAACTGGTGAATACCGTTTAACTCCCGCCAGCCTAAATTCGAGGTTCTCTGAGAATATTTCAGTCCAAGGCAGGACCTTTACCCTTTCTATCTCTTTCGTAGGCCCTAACTACGTCGGGCGCTGTTTCTAGAAGTTCGGTCCTTGCGAACCAGTGGTCGTCCTCTGGTTCCTGGTATGCAAACCTGACTTTATATTGTTTCTGAGGACGGCCTCTACCTCCTGTTCTGAACACGTCTTCACCTACAATGCCGTCAATGTCGTACCTCCCGTCCATGTCTGGAGGGATCATGGACCGTCTAGATGGGAACTGGTCACTTACGGTGCATGGCAACAACTTTGAGGCATGGAAAACTGGGTAAGTGTGGAGGTGTGTCGGGATCTCTATCGAGTAGGACGGACCATCCTCTCCGCCCTTGACTTCTAGAACTGGCCACGGCCCTCTATACGCGGGCAGTAACTTTTGCGAGATGTTCTCCTCAGGAGCAAACTCTTTAGCCTTGACCCAGACTAAGTCGCCTTCTTGGAATTGTGAGGGGCGACGATGTTTGTGGGCTTGCTCTATCATCCTATGGTGGGCCTTCCTGAGGTTCTCTACAACAGTAGCTAGTTCCTTTTCATGCTGTATAGCGAACTCCCTAGTACCGGGCGGTAGCCTGTGAATCTGGTCTCGGTTAAGTCCTTCAAATGGTCTGCGCGGTCTAAAGGACTTGTGCAGTTCGTTGGGAGTGCGGCATGTAGACAAATGCACACTATTGTTGTAGGCACTGGCTACCATGGGGAGCATCTCGTCCCAGTCAACTTGATCTGGTCTAATGTACATCCTTAGAACTTGCTGCAGGATCTTATTCATCTGTTCAGTCTGATCGTTGGTCTCTGGATGACGACCAGAGGACATTAGCAACTTAGAGCCATAGACTCTCATGAACTCTTGCCAGTTCTGACTCGTGAACCGGGTGTCTCTATCACTAACTATGGACAATGGGACCCCGCGCTCACTGACCCAATGATCAAAAAATTTACGGATCACTAACTCGGTTTGTGCCTCTGAAGGCAAAGGTATAAAAACAACATACTTGCTAAATCTATCGACTATCACCATAACTTGGCTCTTGCCATGCCTACTCTTCACGCCCTTGTCCATGAAGTCGATGGACACTGAATCCCCGGGCTGATCAGGAATAGGCAAGGGTCTGAGAAGACCTAGCGGAGCACGCGTAGTAGTCTTATTCCACTGGCAAACTTTACAACTGCGGACATACTCTATGCAGTCATTCTTCATTCCTGGCCAGGTGTACGAGTGCATTAGATTGGCTAGTCTTTTGCCAACCAAAATGACCCTCTGTGTCGTGACATTCTCCTAGGATGAGACTACGGATCTCCTCACTATTGGGAATGCACAGAAGGTCAACTACGTTAGTCTTCTCAAATAACAGTCCATCAGTAGTGCGGTAATCTGGCTCGGTCTCTGGGGCCTCCTTTACTCTCTTGAGGAGGTCACTATAGATAGGGTCCTGCGGATACACCTCTTTAACCCTTTCCTGTAGGTCTCTCCCTATGTCCAGATAGTGAACTATCGCTCCAAAGTAGTCAGCTCTCCTACTCAGAGCATCCGCAACTACATTATATTTCCCTTTGACTGGCTTGAGCTCGAAATCATATTGATCTATCTCTGCGGCCCACCTAGTAAGCTTAGTTGTCATCTTGGCCTGCGTCTTCAACAACCTCAATGTCTCGTGGTCTGAATAGACTTTGAAGTGCCTCCCAAGCAAGTAGTGCTTCCAATGCCTGAGAGTGTAGAGTTCCCTCTCATAGGTAGATGTTGCAACCTTCTCTGAAGGCATCCTAGCAGACATGAACTCTACGGGCCTATAGCCATTACCATCGTCTTGCTGCAGAACAGCACCTATGTCGTACTGACCGGCGTCCATAGTGACGACAAAGGGTAAGGACGGATCGGCCACCTTAAGGACTGGATACTCTATCAATGTCTGTTTCAACTTCTTCATGGCAGATGTGCAGTCCTTATCCCACTTCCAGATGGTTTCTTTCCTTAGCAATCTGCGAAGGGGCGCAGCGATAGTGGAGAAGTTCCTTACGAACTTCCTATAATAGTTCGACGTGGCCCATATACAAAACTTGGGTCTTTGCCCATTCGCACTTCTTTGCGTTGATCTTGAAGTTAGCTTCTCTCAGCTTCTCCAAGACCTGCCTGAGATGACCCTGATGCTCTTGGAGGGTCGTACTAAACACTAAGATATCATCCAAGTAAACTACAACAAACCTATCTAACCAAGGCCTAAACAGGTCATTCATGCATCGCTGAAAAGTCGCTGGCGTGTTGGTTAGTCCAAAGGGCATCACGATGAACTCGTAGTGCCCGTACCTAGTCCGGAAAGCTATCTTGTACTGATCATCAGGATGAACCTCTATGTGATGATATCCGGACTTCAAATCTACCTTCGAAAAATATCTGCACCCCTACACCCGATGTAAAAGATCGTCTATCCTGGGCAGTGGCTCAGCATTCCTAACTGTGATAGCGTTCAGACCCCTATAGTCTATACACAATCTAAGCTCTCCCTCCTTCTTGGGGACAAACAGAACAGGTGCTCCAAATGGAGACGAACTCCAACCCTTCTCTAGGAGCTCATCTAGTTGCTTGCGCAACTCCTCCAACTCCCGCGGGGACATCCTATACACTGCTCCCTTGGGGGTCCTACTGCCAGGCTCAATCTCAATACGATGCTGGATCGGCCGCGGTACTAGTCCTATCGGCGGCTTCGCTAAGTCTGTGAATTCTTCCAGCAGCTTGGCAATAGCAGGGTGTATAGGCTTCTCTTCCTTAGGCTCAGTAACTGGCCTAACATAGGCTACAAAAACCTGTTCCTCTAGCTGCTCTTTTTTCACTAGCCTCACGAACGCAGGAGCGCTAAGGCAGTAGTGTGCCAGGGAGTTGTCTACTCCTGACACATGAATCAGACGGGCAGTCTTGACACCGCCTGATGGACTAGGGAGCCTACACTCGTGCTCCCTCAAATGTAGTGTGGCCCCTGCTTCTTCCCAGTCCATACCCAGGACTATGTCAATCGGGAGGCTATCCTCTACGAGGAGAGTCAGGGAATGGAGAACTTTCTCCACCTTCCCATCCTGTTCTAGGCGGAAATACGCCTGGACTCCCTCTACGTACTCCTCTACTCGCATGGTGCGATTGTCAGCGAGGATACTCACTATGGGGTCTGCTAATCTTTGGACTTTTAACTGCAACTTCAGCTTCTGCAGGCCTTCCTACTCATATAACTACGAGTGGCTCCACTATCCACTAAGGCGCCAGCTCGGCCTCTAAAAATCTTTGTATCTACTAATATGAGTTTCCCCCTATTCTCGTTCCTCATCTTGGCCCAGGCGGGCATTCTCTCCTTCAATTCCTCTGCCACGCCTGTGAGGGAAGTGCCTAGAGAGACTCTAACACATGCAGTCTCTGGGCAGCTATCTAGGCACCGACCTGCAACTTCTGCCATGGGCTCATGTGGTTTGGGAGATTCGTGCCGGCTTGCTAACTCATCTCCACATGGCCCTATGGTAGAGGCAGTTGCTACCCCTACCGGCGGCTGCCTTTTGCTTCCTGTGCAGCCGAACGAGCCTCTCTATACTTCGGACAGTATTTGATGATGTGGCCAGGGTCACCGCAGTATATGCACTGCCCCTGGTTCACACGCTGTTGCCATAAGCGCTGGTCCAAGCCCAGATCTTCCCAAGGCCTGCCTTGTGGCAGCCCTAGGTGCCATCCACTTCTCCTATAAGGGGACCTATTCCCAGACCGGTTTTGCAGGGGACCTTGACCCCGTCCTCCCGCTTGGCGGTTTCCTCCTCTGCCGCCAACCCCCTTATCGCCCTAAGAACGGTTCCCTGAGGCCCGGCCCGCTTGGCCCTGGCCTCGTCCTCCTCCTTGCGGCCTCCCTCCAACCGCGACAGCGGCGTAGGTCCTCCCCTGACTACTACTGTTATCTTCCTCGAGCCCCCACTCTATCTGATCGTAGGGGATCTCATCGACACTACCCTCGTCTAAAGTAAGGACCAGGCTATCCTTTGTCTTCACTTGCCCTGAGATAGTGTGACCTTTCCACTTCTTTCCCTTGTCCAAGTCCTTGTGTCAGAAAGTGGAGATTGACACAGACTTTGCTTCAAACGCCACCACTTCCCTGCTCAATGCGTCGTAGGTTATGGTGGGTTGCTGGCTCTTCTCAAAGCAGTGCCCACTCAACGACTCGGGCATAGCCCGGTAGAAGAGGTTGACCAGTTGGGTCTCTGTGACCCCATGGTCAGGAACAGCCACTAACTCGTCCATTACTCCCTTGAGTGCCTTGGCACTCCTCCACTGACGAGAGTGGATAGTATGCAATCGATCAGAGGCTCTGACACTGCGCGAGACATCTGCAAATCGTTCACGCAACAACTTAAGAAAGTCAGCGAGGGGTGTGAAGGCAGAGTATGCAACCACATCGTCGCTGCAATTAGTAGCGCGGACTAAGGAGCGTGCAAAACTGGCGGCTTCTTCCTTTAACGCATGGATGGCGATTAGGACCTGCTCGTCGGGGGACACCTTCTGCAGGTGCACGTACGTTTTAACGTTGGCCTCCCAAGCGTCAAAGTTCTCTTCCTTCTTTCCACTGTAGGAATCAGGAAACTTAACTTTGACCGGCTCCCTACGGGGGCATGCTTCTTCTTCCTTTGGGGCAGTCAGCTTGGCGCCCTCAATGGCACCAGCACAGTATCGCTCAGTGCCCTCAAGGCAGGCTGTCGCATGCGAGCCCACCTGCATGGCCAACTCCCGAGCAAAGTCCCTAAGTCCCGACCGTATCGAACGCACGACAATGTCCTGGCCTCTACCAAATAAAAGTTGCTCCTCCTGGACCTTTGCCAGGCGTTCCACGTTCTTGGCCAGGATCTCTAATTTCCCCAGTAAATCTACTTGGACCGCCATTTGATCCCTCTGCTTCCTAATCTCTTCCAACTCTTTCGCCGCCTCTGTTGCCGCCTCCATTCTTCTCTTCCTCTCCCTAGTGAGGCGGAACTTCCACTCCATCCTCATCTCATCTTCTAGCACTTGCCGCTTGAGTGGGTCTTCTTCAGCTTCCCACTCTCGCACGGCCGCCTCCTGCTCGTCCCTGGACACATACATTAACGCCTCCTCATCTTCTCCCAGGGTCAGTCCTGCAACCCACTCTGAAATCTTCTTCTCCATCAAATCTTCCTTTGTCTCACTGGACTCCCCTTTGTTTCCTCTTCTTCCTCTCTCCAGTGGCTCCTCTTCTATTTCTTCTTCTTCTTCCTCTTCCACTTCCTTTAATTTCGCTTCTTCTTCTTTCTTCAGCCTCTCCTTCTCCCTAGCCATCTCCTCCTCAATCTTCTTCAACTTTGCCGCTTGCGCCTCCAGCAAGGCCTTCTTCTTGGCCTCCTTCTTCTCTCTCCTCTCTTGGAGGATGGCGGCGGCCTTTGCTTCCTGCTCGGCCGTGTAGGGCGAGGTACCCGTCCTTGTACGTGTCTCTACCCTACACGAAAACGTGTTCCAGAATCCCAATGGGAAAATGAAACGCCAAAGGGTCCCCCAAAGGGAGAACCCCACGAGCAACCCATACATCGGGTAATCATCCATGGTGATAGGTGCACGACAGAACAGTCCCACTCCTCACCACGTAGACCGACCTGCAAAACTCACTGACAGACTCTCTAAGGACCACAGGGTTCGTATAGAACCCTGTCAGCTATGGTCGCTAGCCTAGACCTACACTATGGCTGTCACTACTGAACCAGTGGCTGATCAGGAGGCATTTAAGGAGATCCCCCGTAACTCCTCAGGAATTCTTTAACGTCGCAGTCAGGACGACGTGCTCAGCTTGGTTCTGCCTGTTGCACAGCCCGCAACTCAGCCTTTCGGGCCTACCGTGCCACACCGAGCAGCCCGCCGGTCTGTACCGGTCCTTGGGAGGGTYCGTGYCCYCCGGGACAGTCGAGTCGTCAGACACAGTCTTTAGCCTTACTAGGTCCGGTAGGGG